CAACCCCTCCCCACCAGACCACGCCTCGGCGAGCTCATCGGCACAAAATTAAGTTGATCCCCTATCCGCAGGCAGGATATAATATAATGCATGATGAGAGCGGGGAGGGGGACAAACCACATGCGGCCCGACACTCGCGCGCAAGATGCACGACGCTCTGTTTTTGAAAGAGGGGGGGGGGGAGCTTCAGTGTCGTGCCTGCGTACTGTCACTTAACCAGCCGGTTTTATTGCCAACCCGTTCCGTGGCGAGACTGCCGAATGCACCCGTGCGTGCGGGTTGCTTACTACTCGCTCGGGCCGCGACTATTGGCCGAGCCGTGGGCCGCAAAGAGATTAACACGTTCAGTGCATCCGCATGTGGAGTGGACTAAGTACACTGCTGGGCTCGACACCCTTTTTGTTTTGGTCGGAGTAAGAGTTACGATAGCAAGGTGTATAGCACTCAAGCCCTTGTCTGTGGACGACAGACCACAACATGATGATCGTATGTCACTTCGAGACACACGATTTACGACCATCATTGCGATACCTTAGACTGAAAGGCACGCAGTTCAGCCGCCCGTTCCAAGGCTAACGCAGTTCAGCAGCGCGTTTCGAAAGACACGCAGTTTACCGCTCTCGACATAGGAACTGCGCGAGTCTCGGAACGCGCGGCTGAACTGTGAACTGCGTGCCTTTCAGTCTAAGGTATCGGCCGCCGTGGCTCTCGGCAACACGGCACCGGCACGGTACCTACAACCCGAGCTACGACCACTAAGTAAGCTCCTCCTATGACACTCAACATTAGAATTCTACGACCCTCGTGTGGTCGTCAAGAGAGACCATCCGCAGACCAGAGACAACGTCCGTGAATTCCCCGCGGCAGCGAATGCAAGCATTCATAGCGCCTGCTGGGTAGGCAATATCTGGTCTGCAGTGCATGCATGCATTGCGGGGTGGCCTACCCGACTCTTGCAGGAGCTCGCTGAGCTCCCATTATTTGCCGAATGAGTCTCAAAAAAACGGACCTAGTTTCCGGACAATCCATAGGGCTCAATGTCGTTGGGTGCTACGCCATACGATCACATGGCGGTCGTAGTCCCCGATCAGGTGGATGGAACTTACCTAAAACTTTACATTGATGTTGACATTTTACGAGTGAAGATTGAGAGTAAACTAAAAGTTATGTAAAAGTACACTTTATGAGGAAAACTACACGAAAACTTCCCTAAAAAGTGAACTGTGTCGAAAAAAAAGTAGTTTTCTCATACTTTCAGATGAAGAATAGTACACTTCGGCGGTATAGTACCGAGTCAAGTTCGTTCCACCCGGGCGTGTCGCTAAAGTCCCATCACACGACCACACGGTGGTCGTAAGCTGACGGTCTCGCTGAATGCCGTATACGACACCGCTCATACAACACATTCGCAAATTGTACACGCCTTGCCGCTTGGCTGCGCACGAACTCATCCCTCGCGGTTCACCCTCGGCCCGAACGATAATATATAAAAGACTGATTAAGAGCCTAGTCCGTAATGGTACCATGATAGCTATGCGGGGCGCTCTGATAGGCGATCCTCGCAAACACATTCAATTTCGCAGCACCGTTGCGCTCCACTCGGACGCTTTAATGATGATATTGATGGTCCCGACCGCGGGGCGAGCGGCAGGGGGCCACACCGTTAATTACTACTGGAAAAAATTATGTTACATAAATGTAAATAACGTTATGGTTACAGTGAGACGTCCAACCCTGTGCTGCCCGCGCCACCTCCCGCCAGACTACGCTGTCACGTTATGTAAACGTTTTGCTTACAGTGAGACGTCTCTCTGTGCTACCACCCGCCAGACTACGCTCTTCACTAAGAACACTGACAAATCTCTGGAGACAGCTGTTGCATTGAACACCCCTCCTATTTGACGTGATTGAGCCGTGTGAGTTCGACGTTTAACAACACACGACCTAATTGAGTTGCCTTTACACCCGACACACTTCGCGACGCACATTGTTTTGTGGATGTCACACACCAGGTGGCTGACTGGCCCCGCACGCGCTTCTGTATTGTAACGCATGCAGGTGTGCGTCGCTGACCTCGCCCATCTGCATGCAGCACAGTTCAAGTCGATGGGGCCACTATGTTTCTGGCAGTACACCGGATTGCATGATGACAGTTGGAGCACAGGGATGGGATGACAAATGGTTACATTGATTCTTTTGTGCCATATCGTGTTATTTTCGTAAACTTTCGTCGAGGATTTCAGGATTTCACTGATTACTAAGGGATTGCATGCGAATTTGTGCACGGGATGTCAGGATTAGTGACCCTCTGGTAGTCGTACGTCGTACACAAGTGAGCGGTGACCGTTTAGTCCACAGAACCGAATTCAAAACCGATGAAACTTTAGCTCTACTCACCATACTTTATCCACGGTAATGAAATAATTCAGTCAACCTTAGTCAGTTTGATTGATACGTTCTTATTTAGTTAAACATGAGGTTACTTATTTAGTGGTTTCAAGGAAATTAATTTTGTTCTTTACAACCCTGATCTGATTTTATGAGCTAAATAGTTTGATGGATGCAATAAGGCAG